GCTGGTGTTACACTGCTGGAGTTACACTGCTGGTGTTACACTGCTGGTGTTACACTGTTGGTGTTACAATGCTGGTGTTACACTGCTGGTGATACACTGCTGGTGTTACAGTGTTGGTGTTACACTCCTGGTGTTACACTGCTGATGTTACACTCCTGGTGTTACACTACTGGTGATACACTCCTGGTGTTACACTGCTGGTGTTACACTGCTGGTGTTACATTGCTGATGTTACACTCCTGGTGCTTCTCTGCTGGTGTTACACTCCTGGTGTTACACTGCTGGTGTTACACTGCTGGTGTTGCACTCCTGGTGTTACACTCCTGGTGTTACACTCCTGGTGTTACACTCCTGGTGTTACAGTGCTGATGTTACACTCCTGGTGTTACACTGCTGGTGTTACACTCCTGGAGTTATAGTGCTGGTGATGCACTGCTGGTGTTACAGTGCTGGTGTTACACTCCTGGTGTTACACTGCTGATGTTACACTCCTGGTGTTACACTGCTGGTGATACACTCCTGGTGTTACACTTCTGGTGTTGCACTGCTGGTGTTACACTGCTGGTGTTACACTGCTTGTGTTACACTCCTGGTGTTACACTGCTGGTGTTACACTCCTGGTGTTACACTGCTGGTGTTACACTGCTGGTGTTAAACTGCTGGTGTTGCATTGCTGATGTTACACTGCTGGTGTTACACTGCTGTTGTTACACTGCTGGTGTTACACTGCTGGTGTTACACTGCTGGTGTTACACTGCTGGTGTTACACTGCTGGTGTTACACTGCTGGTGTTACACTACTGGTGTTACACTGCTGGTGTTACACTGCTGGTGTAACACTGCTGGTGTAACACTGCTGGTGTTACACTGCTGGTGTTACACTGCTAGTGTTACACTGCTGGTGTTACACTGCTACTGTTACACTGCTGGTGATACACTCCTGGTCTTACACTGCTTGTGTAACACTGCTGGTGTTACACTGCTGGTGTTACACTGCTGGTGTTACACTGCTGGTGTTACACTCCTGGCGTTACCCTCCTGGTGTTACACACCTGGTGTTACACTGCTGGTGTTACACTCCTGGTGTTACACTGCTGGTGTTACACACCTGGTGTTACATTGCTGGTGTTACACTCCTGGTGTTACACTGCTGGTGTTACACTCCTGGTGTTACACTGCTGGTGTTGCACTGCTGGTGATACACTCCTAGTCTTACACTGCTGGTGTTACACTGCTGGTGTTACACTGCTGGTAACACACTCCTGGTCTTACACTCCTGGTGTTACACTGCTGGTGTTACACTCCTGGTGTTACACAGCTGGTGTTACACTGCTGGTGATACACTCCTGGTCTTACACTGCTGATGTTACATTTCTGGTGTTACATTGCTGGTGTTACACTGCTAGTGTTACACTGCTGGTGATACACTGCTGGTGTTACACTGCTGGTGATACACTCCTGGTGTTACACTCCTGGTGTTACACTCCTGGTGTTACACTGCTGGTGTTACACTCCTAGTGTTACACTGCTGGTGTTACACTGCTGGTGTTACACTGCTGGTGTTACACTCCTAGTGTTACACTGCTGGTGATACAATCCTGGTGTTACACTCCTGGTGTTACTCTCCTGGTGTTACACTCCTGGTGTTACACTGCTGGTGTTACACTGCTGGTGATACAATCCTTGTGTTACACTCCTGGTGTTACTCTCCTGGTGTTACATTGCTGGTGTTACACTGCCGGTGATACACTCCTCGTGTTACACTCCTGGTGTTACACTCCTGGTGTTACACTCCTGGTGTTACACTGCTGGTATTTGCTGGTGTTACACTGCTGGTATTTGCTGGTGTTACACTGCTGGTGATACACTGCTGGTGTTACACTGCTGGTGTTACACTCCTGGTGTTACACTGCTGGTGTTACACTGCTGGTGTTACACTCCTGGTGTTACACTCCTGGTGTTACACTCCTGGTGTTATTCAATCAATAATTAGTGATGAAAAAATTAATCTTATTTCCATGATTCTCTTCCATATATTATCGTATTTTCCTTCATAATTAATGCAGAATTTTTCCTGGTTAATTCACTCAGTGATTAATACCGGGTTGGTCATTACTCGCTTTTTGATGATTAAGGTTGTTACAAGTCGTTGTGTTGGCATAGTTAAGGTGGGAGAGGTCGTTGTGTTGTCATAGTTAAGGTGGGAGAGGTCGTTGTGTTGTCATAGTTAAGGTGGGAGAGGTCGTTGTGTTGTCATAGTTAAGGTGGGAGAGGTCGTTGTGTTGTCATAGTTAAGGTGGGAGAGGTCGTTGTGTTGTCATAGTTAAGGTGGGAGATGTCGTTGTGTTGTCATAGTTAAGGTGGGAGAGGTCGTTGTGTTGTCATAGTTAACGTGGGAGAGGTGGTTGTGTTGTCATAGTTAAGGTGGGAGAGGTCGTTGTGTTGTCATAGTTAAGGTGGGAGAGGTCGTTGTGTTGTCATAGTTAAGGTGGGAGAGGTCGTTGTGTTGCATAGTTAAGGTGGGAGAGGTCGTTGTGTTGTCATAGTTAAGGTGGGAGAGGTCGTTGTGTTGTCATAGTTAAGGTGGGAGAGGTCGTTGTGTTGTCATAGTTAAGGTGGGAGAGGTCGTTGTGTTGTCATAGTTAAGGTGGGAGAGGTCGTTGGTGTTGTGTATCATATTAAGTGGGAGAGGTCGTTTGTTGTCATAGTTAAGGTGGAGATCATTATGGTGGACTACTGGGTGTTCCATGGATACCACATGTCAAGAGCAATCCATTCATTTCAGAATTTACCAGGTAATGGGAAACTCAGTTACTCCTTGGAAGAGTCCCTGAGCACCGTAGTCGAGAACCTTTGTAGAACCTTGCTGGAACCCTTGCTGGAACTCTTGCGAATCCTTGCTAACCCTTGCTGACCTTGCTGAACCCTTGCTGGAACCCTTGCTGAACCTTGCTGGGAATTTCTTGAGATATCCTCCTGCCCTACTAAGTCCTCCCAGCTCAGGCTGACAACAGTTTCTGACATGGCGACCCACCACTTGTATACCCTACCGGATCTGCCTGAGGTTATTCGGGGATCAACGCCCCTGCGGTCGGTCCACGACAGGGCCTCCGATGGACAGGGCCTGACAACATGGTGTTACTGCTGGCCGCGCTAAGTCCAACGTACGATCCCCAGCCCGGCTGATCCGGCACCGACTTTAAGTATCTGTTCAGCTCCCTCCTGAAGACAACCAGGGATCTATTGGTAATTCCCCTTATGGCTGGTGGGAGACTGTTGAACAGTCTTGGGCCCCGGACACTTATTGTGTTTTCTCTTAGTGTACCAATGGCGCCCCTACTTTTCACTAGGGGTATGTTGCATCGCCTGCACAGTCTTTTACTCTCGTAGGGAGGGATTTCTGTGTGCAGATTAGGAACCATTCTTTCTAGAATTTTCCAAGTGTAGATTATGATGTATCTCTCTCGCCTGCGCTCCAGTGAGTACAAGTCAAGTGCTTCCAAACGCTCACAGTATTTAAGATGTTTGACGGAATTTATATGTGCAGTGAAGGTTCTCTGTACATTCTCTAGATCTGAAATTTCACCTGTTTTGAACGGAGATATTAATGTTAATATTAATGTGACTAACTACCACTTACAATAGTGTAGCGGCACATTGCCGATATGTCAGTCTTTTCTAAACAAATAAATAGAACAAGACGCTACGTTATTACTGTTCTTTCTGTTGAACAGCGGTTTAGTGCCGAAGATGGTAGCGTAGGTAGCAAAAATACGGCATGGAATAGTTTGCCCGTTGTGTACTCACAACGGGCAAAGTGAGGGAATGATTGATAGCCAGTCCGCGGAGGGAAGCTGTTGAACCCGAGAGGGTAAGCCGTGAAGTGAACGTCCCACTGACCTGGGTAGGCCTAGAGAGGGCAGCACCGGAGTGCCGCGGAATATGAAACTAGCAGACAGAAATCGCTGTCTACATCTAGCCCAATACGTAGTTTTATGTGGTCACAACCACACATTTAGTTCCTCCACCTGCCAATTTTCAGCTCAAAATCCCTCCTGATAAAATATCTAAAAAACAATAGCTTGCAACATTATTTGCCCGACAATTTCCTGTCTTGACAGCTGCCTATTGGACAGCCCCGGGTTAAGAGCATAAAAGAAATCGACCATTTCCCACGTAAGGAATCCAATACTTTGTAGATGCTCTGACACCCTTAAGAAATGTTCTCTTAAAATGTAAATATCTGAATGGTGAGGGAGGATTTTCTGCAAAACTCTCCTGTTTTTGTAACCCCTGGGAAGATATGTTGCATTGTGGGAAGATTTGCAATGTAATGTTGAGAAGTGCATGATACCGTGCATGGTGCATCTGCTGAGTGTGTTTGTGTGTCTGTGTGTTGGTAAGATGGTGGTACTTACACCTGTTATGTTGCTGAGATGACAGATGATGTTATGATGCTGGCGTGACAGATCATGTTATGATGCTGGCATGACAGATGATGTTATGATGCTGGCATGACAGATGATGTTATGTTGCTGGCATGACAGATGATGTTATGTTGCTGGCATGACAGATGATGTTATGATGCTGGCATGACAGATGATGTTATGATGCTGTCATGACAGATCATGTTATGATGCTGGCATGACAGATGATGTTATGATGCTGGCATGACAGATCATGTTATGTTGCTGAGATGACAGATGACGCTATGATGCTGACATAACAGATGATGCTTTGATGCTGGCATGACAGATGATGTTATGATGCTGACATGACAGATGATGTTATGATGCTGACATGACAGATGATGTTATGATGTTGACATGACAGATGATGTTATGATGCTGACATGACAGATGATGTTATGATGCTGACATGACAGATGATGTTATGATGCTGGCATGACAGATGATGTTATGATGTTGACATGACAGATAACCTGAAGATGCTGACATCACACATCACTTACAAATTACAATTTTTTTGTCATTATAACAGAACAAGGTGTGGCGGAAGTGGAGGTGGGAGGGCGGCATGAGAGGTGTGGGCGGCGGGTGTGGGCGTGGAGGCAGTGGGGGCGGTACAGGGCCCACAGGACGTCGAGCCCACACCGCTGTAATGGTAGGAGATGCTATGCTGGTCTACGGAGGATATCAGGATCTTAGAGGTTCATCCTCAGAGCTCTGGAATTTTAATACACGTAAGTATGGTAGTAGTAGTAGTAGTAGTAGTAGTAGTAGTAGTAGTAGTAGTAGTAGTAGTAGTAGTAGTAGTAGTAATAGCAGTAGCAGTAGTAGTAGTAGTAGTAGTAGTAGTAGTAAGTATATATGCAAGAGTAGCAGTAGTAGTCAGTAGTAGTAGTAGTGTAGCTAGTAGTAGTAAGTAGTAGTATAGTTAGTATAATAGCAGTATAGTAGTATAGATATAGCAGTAGTTAAGTAGATATAGTAGTAAGTAGTAGTAGTTTGAGTAATGTAAGCAGTAGTAGTAGTAGTAGAGTGTAGTAGTGCAGTAGCAGTATAGCAGTAGTAATAGCAGTAGTAGTAGTAGTATAGTAATAATAGCAGTAGTAGTATAGTAGTATAGTAGCAGTAGTATAGTAGTAGTAGTAGTACAGTAGTTGCAGTAGATCAGTTAGTAGTAGTAGTAGTATAGTGAGTAGTATAGTAGTAGTTAGTAGCAGCAACCATATAGTAGTAGTAGCACAGTCAGTTATGTAGTAGTAGTAGTAGAGTAGTAGTAGTAGTAGTAGTATAGCAGTAGTAGTAGTAGTAGTAGTAGTAGTAGTAGTAGTAGTAGTAGTAGTAGCAGCAGCAGCAGCACTAGTAGTAGTAGTAGTAGCAGCAGTAGCAGTAGTAGTAGTAGTAGTAGTAGTAGTAGTAGTAGTAGCAGTAGTAGTAGTAGTAGTAGTAGTAGTAGCAGCAGCAGCAGCACTAGTAGCAGTAGTAGTAGCAGCAGTAGCAGTAGTAGTAGTAGTAGTAGTAGCTAGTAGCAGTAGTAGTAGGTAGTAGTTAGTAGTAGTAGCCAGTAGCAGTAGTAGTAGTAGTAGTAGTAGTAGTAGTAGCACAGTCAGTAGAGTAGTAGTAGTAGTAGCAGCAGCAAGCATGAGAGCATACTAGTAGATCAGTAGTAGTAGTAGCAGCAGTAGCAGTAGTAGTAGTAGTAGTAGCAGTAGTAGTAGTAGTAGTAGCAGTAGTAGTAGTAGTAGTAGTAGCAGCAGCAGCAGCACTAGTAGCAGTAGTAGTAGCAGCAGTAGCAGTAGTAGTAGTAGTAGTAGTAGCAGCAGCACTAGTAGAGTAGTATAGCAGCAGTAGCAGTAGTAGTAAGTATATACTGCAACAGTAGATAAGTAGTAGTAAATATAGTATAGAGAGCAGCATACATATGTAGTAGTATACAGCAGCAATACAGTAGATAGTAATGTAGTAGTATATAAGTATATACTAGTGTATAGTACAGAGCAGTATGCAAGAGTAGTAGTAGTAGTAGCAGCAGCACTAGTTAGCATGTAGTAGTAAGCGCAGTTAGCAGTAGTAGTAGTATATACAGCAGTAGCAGTAGTAGTAGTAGTAGTAGTAGTAGCAGCAGTAGCAGTAGTAGTAGTAGTAGTAGTAGTATTAGTAGCAGTAGTAGTAGTAGTAGTATTAGTAGTAGTAGTAGTAGTAGTCAAGAATACTTCTCATTACTGCAACAAGAATAAGGATATATACAATATATATACACTGAGAGATACATAACTCAGTGTATATACACAATAAGTGATAAATAATTCGGTGTATATACATAAAAAGATACATACCTAAGTGTATATTCACCTAGAGATATACATACTTGGGTATACATACACCGAGTAACAACATACATGTCTACCAATCTGGTTAAAATGATTTACAGTCTAGTTACTTATCTTACACGTAACGCTGGAAGATTTACAGTCTGGTTACTTATCTTACACGTAACGCTGGAAGATTTACAGTCTGGTTACTTATCTTACACGTAACGCTGGAAGATTTACAGTCTGGTTACTTATCTTACACGTAACGCTGGAAGATTTACAGTCTGGTTACTTATCTTACACGTAACGCTGGAAGATTTACAGTCTGGTTACTTATCTTACACGTAACGCTGGAAGATTTACAGTCTGGTTACTTATCTTACACGTAACGCTGGAAGATTTACAGTCTGGTTACTTATCTTACACGTAACGCTGGAAGATTTACAGTCTGGTTACTTATCTTACACGTAACGCTGGAAGATTTACAGTCTGGTTACTTATCTTACACGTAACGCTGGAAGATTTTCAGCCTTTTAAATTGATTTCTCTGCGTCACAGAGTATAAACAAACACTCTGTGCCGGAATTTTAACATGGTCAGACTGGTCGTGATCTGTTTTATAGCTGAAAGTATGTGTAGATCCTGGCCAGACGGCATATTATAATGACCAGGGGTCACCGCCCCCCTCCTGTTATAAATCTCTGATTACCTGTTATTGACAGCGAGGAGGTCATCGCCCCCTCTGGTTATAAATTTAGCATGGAAGCGTAAAATCTCGTCTCTCTCTCACTCTCCCTCTCACTCTCTCTCTCACTCTCCCTCTCACTCTCTCTCTCTAACTCTAACTCTCTTCTACGTTTGATATCCGGAATTCCATTGTTAAGTTTCTAATTAAAATTGTTAGTTACATTTTTTCCCCAGACAGTAATAACGTCAAGTGGCCCATTTACACTCCTATTATCCCAGGCGCTGCGTTACTCTGTGAGTCTCGTTAATATATTGCTTCTCAACTAACTGATAAGTTGGTATAAAATACCGACAGATTGTTACCTAACAATCTGTCGGTATTTCATACCATTTTAATTACCTAATAACTGATAAGTGTTAAGGAATATTATTTTTATTATTATTATTATTATTATTATTATTATTATTATTATTATTATTATTATTATTATTATTTCTATCTTTCAACGCACCGGCCGAATCCCACCGAGGCAGGGCGGCCCAAAAGGACAAACGAAAGTTTCTCCTTTTAAATTTAGTAATATATACAGGAGGAGAGGTTACTAGCCCCTTGTTCCCGGCATTTTACTCGCCTCTTACAACACGCATGGCTTACGGAGGAAGAATTCTGTTCCACTTCCCCATGGAGATAAGAGAAAATAAACAAGAACAAGAACTAGAAAGAAAATAGAAGAAAACCCAGAGGGGTGTGTACATATATATGCTTGTACATGTATGTGTAGTGTGACCTAAGTGTAAGTAGAAGTAGCAAGATGTACCTAAAATCTTGCATGTTTATGAGACAGAAAAAGGGACACCAGCAATCCTACCATCATGTAAAACAATTACAGGTTTTCGTGTTACACTCACTTGGCAGGACGGTAGTACCTCCCTGGGTGGTTGCTGTCTACCAACCTACTACCTACAATTATTATTATTATTATTACACTCATAACTAAGTCTTTTACTAGTTTTTATTGAGAGTGATCTTCATGTAATGAGAGTGACCTTCATGTAATGAGAGTGACCTTCATGTAATGAGAGTGACCTTCATGTAACGAGAGTGACCTTCGTGCAACGAGAGTGACCTTCATGTAATGAGAGTGACCTTCATGTAATGAGAGTGACCTTCATGTAATGAGAGTGACCTTCATGTAATGAGAGTGACCTTCATGTAATGAGAGTGACCTTCATGTAACGAGAGTGACCTTCGTGCAACGAGAGTGATCTTCATGTAATGAGAGTGACCTTCATGTAACGAGAGTGACCTTCATTTAATGAGAGTGACCTTCATGGAACGAGAGTGACCTTCGTGTAACGAGCGTGACCTTCAGGTAACGAGAGTGACCTTCGTGTAACGAGCGTGACCTTCAAGTAACGAGAGTGACCTTCGTGAGGTCAATCAAAGCAAACAAGGTCATTACCCTCCCCCAAGTGGCCTATTCGCCAATTCTTCCACTTAGATAACTCAGAGCCGTTATCAGCTTATCAGCTTTTTTGATCCCCGTGTTCAATGTGGACAGATAATTAGAAATGGTTATGAAGATTAATGCAACAGAAATACAGTAGGCATACAACAGGAATTCAATACAGCTGTTAGTAAACAGTAATACAACATAGCTGGCAGCAACAGGCACATCACAGCTGACAGCAACAGGCACATCACAGCTGGCAGCAACAGGCACATCACAGCTGACAGCAACAGGCACATCAAAGCTGGCAGCAACAGGCACATCACAGCTGGCAGCAACAGGCACATCAAAGCTGGCAGCAACAGGCACATCACAGCTGACAGCAACAGGCACATCACAGCTGACAGCAACAGGCACATCACAGCTGGCAGCAACAGGCACATCACAGCTGACAGCAACAGGCACATCACAGCTGACAGCAACAGGCACATCACAGCTGGCAGCAACAGGCACATCACAGCTGACAGCAACAGGCACATCACAGCTGACAGCAACAGGCACATCACAGCTGGCAGCAACAGGCACATCACAGCTGGCAGCAACAGGCACACATCACAGCTGGCAGTAACAGGCACATCACAGCTGGCAGCAACAGGCACATCAAAGCTGGCAGCAACAGGCACATCACAGCTGACAGCAACAGGCACATCACAGCTGGCAGCAACAGGCACATCACAGCTGACAGCAACAGGCACATCACAGCTGGCAGCAACAGGCACATCACAGCTGGCAGCAACAGGCACACATCACAGCTGGCAGTAACAGGCACATCACAGCTGGCAGCAACAGGCACATCAAAGCTGGCAGCAACAGGCACATCACAGCTGACAGCAACAGGCACATCACAGCTGGCAGCAACAGGCACATCACAGCTGACAGCAACAGGCACATCACAGCTGACAGCAACAGGCACATCACAGCTGACAGCAACAGGCACATCACAGCTGACAGCAACAGGCACATCACAGCTGGCAGCAACAGGCACATCACAGCTGACAGGAACAGGCACATCACAGCTGGCAGCAACAGGCACACATCACAGCTGGCAGCAACAGGCACATCACAGCTGACAGCAACAGGCACATCACAGCTGGCAGCAACAGGCACATCACAGCTGACAGCAACAGGCACATCACAGCTGGCAGCAACAGGCACACATCACAGCTGGCAGCAACAGGCACATCACAGCTGACAGCAACAGGCACATCACAGCTGGCAGCAACAGGC